TCTGACTCAGGGCTCAGAACTCCCCCACTCCCAGCCTTTCCCCCTCGCTCCCAAACCACCCACTCAGGACCAGAAGATGTGAGAGCCTTTTGTTTGGGGCCCCTTGGAGCAAGCTGACCCCCATGGAGCTCAGATGACCCTGACCCTCGACTAGGGGGCCCCATTCTGTGGGAGAAGCGGAATGGGAGCGGGGTCAGCGATTTCTCCAAGTTTAGCCTCTTGCCCATTCCATGGGAGTCAGTACAGATGCTCCTGATACACCCATCGGCGGTGGAAAATACCAAAAGTTGAAAATATGCACCTCACCTACCCAGAGCCTGGCCTGCCTCGGAACACTCACATGGGCCCCCAGATGGGCAAAGGCATCGAACACAGGCCACCATATAACGAAGCGGTGAAAGCCTGTGTGTTTACTGAATACGGCACTGAAAGCGCAAAGCACAATGGTCGTATGAGTCCTCGCCATTCACGTCCACGGCTGAACGCGCCTGGCACACAGACGGGCGTTTGTAGACATAATTGGGCGGAAAAACACAAAACAGTGTCCAAAAACCCCAGCGACCCAGCACCTGCAGGGGATCCCTCCCTCGCCGGGCTGCCCAGGGGTGCTCAGCCCAGCGTCCCGGGAGAGGACCACACCCAGGGGTCACCAGCCCCGGAAAAGATCAAAATTCTAAATCTGAAGCACAGTTTCCACTGCACACGGACAGCCTTCGCACACACCACTGTCAAGGTGAAGAGCCGCAGGTTGCAGCACCGTAAGCGGGGACCACCTGTAAGCGCTTGACTCTCATGTTTGGCTCCTTGCTCTCTGAGCCACTCGGACCCGGGCCGCCCCGGCTCAGCAGAGCTTCTGACCAGCACCATCCACACAAACACGTCAACAGCCTGGTGTCCGGCACAGGCGTCAACCCTCCCCTGGAATCCGTGCGTCTCAGAGGCCCCAGGTACCAGCAGGCACGCAGAAAAGCTCAGCTGTTATTCTAAGCACCGTCCTAAGCCTGCCTTTCGCAATCACGGGATTTTAGACGGGGTTGCGGGGGAGGGGGGCCTGCACGCACATTAGAATCACCTGTGAGGTCTTCTAAGCCTGGTGGGAGCCAGGCCTTCCCTAGAGCATCTGATTTTCATTTCACTGACACAGAAAGACAGAGAATCTGCTCCACAATATCCCAAACCGCCCTCTTTCCAGCTCCACCAACTTGTCTGAACTCAGTCCCAGGGGCAGGAAGTCCACAGGGACGACTG